CCTACGAATTCTGTCATAATTTTACCGTTACACTCATCTTTCATTAGACCCAAAACTTTTTTATTCTTCAGAGGCATTCCATAAACATTATTCTGAGGGTAACCAGATGTATCGAATTTCATTCCATCATCTTTAATGCATTTATATATATCAGGGACTTTGAAGTAATACAATAGGCTGTCTGTGTCGGTATACATCAATTTTGCTGTATTACCAAATACCTGTACTATGTATTTATAATGAAAATCATATATAAATATCTTTGATAAGTCGCAAATTGAATAACCGACATATATTGGCTTGTTGAATAATATTTTCGTGCGATTCATTTCAATAATAACCATGTCATTATCGAAAATGGTGCAGCTATGGAAATTTGGTTTTACTATTAATGATTTCGCACCATATCTACCTTCCCACTTCGTGACTAATTTAACATCTTTGTGTTTCCTTACATTTTCCATGGTTTTACCAACAACTGCGTTATTCATTAACTTATAAAAATTCTTTTCGAACTCATTTTTCGATTTTATTCGCGAGTCTGTATTGAAGATAATGTACGGTTGAAGCCACGGCGACTGCTCAAATTTTAGGACACGATGGATTCTTATGAGTTTCATACCAAGACTCAAGCATTGCTTCAAGTTCTTGTAATGTATATTATATTTCTCCTTGGGAAGTAGAGTAGTCATTAACTTTGATATTTTACTGTTAGGTGCTGTGAATTGTTGAGGACAAAGAGGCAAATCTTTATGCATTTCATGAATATTCTGTGGATAGTTGAGATCTACTTCAAGTATATAGCCCGTAGATGACTCATCAGGAATAGAGTAAATATCGATAGTCAATGGATCTGCCCATTCGAAAGAACCATAAGGTAAATATTCAGACATAACTGCATCGTATAAATTATTAATATCAACATACATGAGATAAAATTCATCTTCATCTGCATCGAAATATTCACCCATATATCTATTGTTTGCTTGAGCCCACCAATTCGAGCATTGAGCCACTCCACCTCGAATACCCGTCTCAATAAATAATAGTTTTTCTACGTCTGTTAAAAGCTCAATTTTACTTTGGTGCATTTGAGCATGGCATCAAACGCTAACCCCGGAGCGGTGAAGTAGCGTAACGGGTCTAGTTTATAAGAGAGACACAGTTATATCGAAAATTCTCAAAAATGTTACTCAATAATAAAACATCTGTTTTCAAATATAAATCTGAATATTCACCCAATGATTTTACATGGAAAGTTTCCGAAATTTTCAACGCATGTTGATAATCCTCATTTGAAATTCCTGCACCATTTAATTTTGAGTAGAAATGCTTTTTCATTGGTAAATTAATCTCTTCGAAATGATTCCAACCATCCACATATTCGTACGGGAAAACACCTTTTCTAGTCATGAGCTCAAATTCCTCTTTACTAGCATACTGTTCACGACTAATGGATTTATCTTCATTATTTAGGTAAGGTGCTAGTTTACCCAAACTACTTCCCATGAATCGAAATGAATCGATGAAACGCAGACTAATTTTTGTTTCCGTCACGCGTTCAGTGAAAGAAATATATTTCTCCTTATTAATTGGTAGAAGATATACATCACCATCAAACTGAGTAGCTAATGCTTTGATTAAAAAATGCGCGTCATAACCAGAAAGGTTATGAAAAACAATAGGAACAACGCAAGAATCTTGATAATTTAAATTACACCTTGGATGTGCCGCACCTCGGTATTAGCCTGTGAAATGACAATGATCACGATGCTTGATATCAGTTTCTATGAAAGTTTTTTCACAAATATGACATATTTCAGCTACATTGAAATTTTGTATTTGTTTATCACTGAGTGCTATCATTGATATGATGTTTTTCCTATACGCATCTACCATGTGCGCGATATCTTTCAGTTTACTGATGAACGAATCAATGCAATTTTCCCCGCGATAGATTTCAAATTTCGATAAGCTGTGATTAAAAGCACAATGTAAATAAAATGCGGTACTATGAGGGATATATGCTTTTGATTTACGTTGTTTACTGAAACTGGTGCAAGAATACATTCCAAATCTCCATAGACTACAAACGGTACGATTTCTCTGTACTTATAATGTGAAAAACTTAGAATATTATCTGTCTTTTTTGGAAGTAGCACTCGACACTTGTTCACCGCGAAACAATCGTGTTGATGTTTTTGATATGAAGATTCTGAGTTGAAGTGACATAAACATCTATCACACAGGAATGTCTTCGTTTTACGTTTCAAAATTTGCATACCGACTAATCTCGATAAATTTCTTATCCAAACAAAGTGATAAATAACTCGAGGATCATAGCTCACATGATCATCATAATCATCATCATCATTGGAAATCTCAGCGTCACTATTCAGCATCAGTAGATGAATAGTTGCTTCTACCGATTGATACCGACTCAAATAGAAAGGAACTATTTCACTCTTCCTTCCTCTTGCAGAACTTTCTATACCATACACATTGATAGATAGATGATTCATTTCCTCAAACTTGGGGATGTTTTTGAGAGTCATTGGGCAAATAATATCCTCATAATGGAGTTCTGTGCTGTAATGAGGATATGAAGTTTTTCGACAGGGATTACTGTTTCCAGGTGTTGGAGGATGATGTGCGGCCATGACAGACCAGAGGAGACAAAATTCATCATCATTTTGAATATTTACAACAGCCTTTTTTCCTCTGTACATCCTCAGGAAGTGCCACAAAAGTCGATAATCCACCACGCAATGGAGCATAATGGTTGATGTTAACGTCTAAGTTCATTATCTCCACCATTGTCCAACCTGAATCTCGTTCTTGAAATTCCTCCACCTTTTGGAGCAGACGATCGATTAGATACTCGTCACACCATTTCCATGGATCAGTGGTTGGGAGGATGAGTTCGTTTCTCGTATTAAAAAATTTAGTTTCCTTGATAGTCTCGTCGTTTTTCAATACATTAAATTTACACGCCAACACAGTATTAACTTTCACACTACCTTTTTCTCGTAAAACATTCCGCAAACGAACTACAGCTAAGGTTTTCGCATCTCTCAACAAGTCACCCAAATCTTTATTACGCAGGTTTATAATTGTCCCCGTACTTATCCTTCCATGGAAGATGGATTTCAAGTTTTTACAGCGGACTCTATACTGTATTGGTAGTTTCGTTCAATTGCACCTCCAATATGTCGCTGTCGTTCCTTGAATTCCTCATAAAAGAAGTGGATTATGGAAACAGTCGTTTGAATTCTGCGTTTATATCCTCCAAAAATGTTTACTCTTCTGGCAATTTTATTGAAAAATTCGATGTAATGAGTACACTTCCTCAACCACTGCTCGATTTCATGACTTGTCAAAAAATTTAACCGTTTATAAGCTCCCTCTATGATTTCCACCACTTTGACACAAAATTTTACCTCCATTACCGCTTCTCGACGTATTATTTTATCAAATACTTCTCGCTGAATGACTACGATTGTCTGTTCATGTAGATGTTTATAGGGTGAGAGTGTTGATTCATCATTGCCCATGAATTAGTATATTATCTAATCATTAGTCAGTATGACTCTAACGTAAGTCATCACATTTCCTAATATGAAGCAATTGACACGCAATCCACTAGGTATATAAAAACGGTGTTCTTCAATTCACAATTTATTCAAACAGCAGTGGCGCTAGTAGCAAGACCGTGTGATACGTAAGAGTGAAACATAAACGTTTATTCGAAAACATTAAATGAAAGCAATGGATTCTACAAAGAAAGAGTATTCTCCATCAAAACCTATCGATTTAGATCAAATAAATCGAGTCTGTTGTGGTGAGGAATTTTTACCGGTGATGAAAGTTTCGGAAATGCTGCAGGACAAAGACTATCAAATTACTGGATTTAAAACAGTCGTAACGAAATATGGACCGAAGGTGGATGCGAAAATTGAAAGGACATTCAAAATCTATTTACCGTGCAGAGTATCAGCAGCTCTAGTGGCTGATAAACCACAGCTAGACATCTTGGAGACTGCTGCTGCAGGCAGTCACCTGATTTTACGTTACCACGGAGGCAAATACAATGATATTGAGTTGAAATATGTCTAGAAAAAAAATGTCAAACTTATGCATAGTGAATATTTCAAACAAGAAATGAAATAAAAATCTAAATAAATGAGTAAAAAAAAAATTTCGCAAAATTTTTTCATAATTAATTTCTGTGATAATAGATACCTTCTATTATCGCAGAGGAAAAAAAATTCAATAGAAAAACCTATCATCGAGAAAATCCAAATGAATTTCTATTGAAATCCTGTAGAAACTCAAATAAAAAAATTCTATTAGTTTTTTGGATCAATTTTACGGACAATTTCTTTAAGATATTTGATAGAGACAGAAAAAAATAGATTTTCAAGTTGTTTTCCACTATGTTTTAACTTGTTCCTTGTTCTAAAATCCAAGAAAAAAACTTCGCAACCTCTCTCTCTCTACCAGATTCAAAAAATATGCATTTTATTGAAATAGAAAAGATCTCTTTGAAAATTCAGCTCTTTAAATTCGAGAAACATGTATCATTCCGCACTCTACTTGAATGTTCAATAGAAAGTATTTCGTAGAAAAAAACCAATAGAATTCTACTATAGAATTTCTTCGGTTTGAATTTCCTTTTCTGTTCATGAAAAATCAAACTAAAATAACTTTGAAAATTAGAATTGAGGAGATTCTATGGGAAATATATCCATTTTGAATAAGTTGTATAAAAAAAAATCCAATTCTTTTTTTTATTTATATAGAGTATTTTCTATTGAAAATGCTATAGAATCGATCAAAACTAATAGACAATTCAATAGAGTTTACTTGTTACCACTCCAGTTATATATTAAATTTGTGGATTTTGTTGCTCCTTTGGTTCTCATTCTTCTTCTTCTTCTTGAAATGAAATTCTGAAAGAGAAAAGTTCTCGGGGATTCTCGAAATCACATGAGAAAGAGTTATCATTAAGTTTCTTCTTTTATTTTTTAGGAATTGACAATGAAAAATATATGAAAAAGAGCATATCAATTATGTTGATTAGAGAACAATGAGGAATATAGAGGCAGAGGTTCTCTCTTTTTCTGACACTACTAAAAAACTACGTTAAATGAAAATAATGTTTCGTGCGAGGTTATCTGCTGAATCCGATGCATTCTTAGAGTTTTCCAGCCTTCTGCTCGACTAAGGCCTCTGAAACAAGTCAATTAAAAATACCTGCGGTTAAAATCAATCAACAAAATTTGCACTACATGTATGAAAAAATTTACTAGAAAAAAACCTACCGAATGCGTTAGACAAATCGTTTTTTATTTCTATCAAGCTTTCTATTAGTATTGGATAGATTCTATTGAAACGTTCTATCGAAAAAGTCAATAGAATATGATGTTTCTATACAACTTATTCTGTTGGACCATTTTCTATAGAATTTCTTCAGTTTAATTTTTTTCTTTTTTTTTAAATCTTGGAAAATTGAAACTAAAAAAAGTCTATAAAAAATACTTTAATAGAATAAGTTGTATAGAATCATTTGAATCCATGAACTTTTCCGATGAAATATTCCCATCAAAGATTTCAATGGAATAGGCTAAAAACTAATAGAATTGTCTAGTGAATTTGCTCAATTATTTTGTTACTCAATTCTTCTTATATTTACCATGCCTACGTCGAACACGATCCTCAAACATCCCTAACAGAGAGTCCTTGACGAACATGATGTGACCACGGTTGCAAACAAACATCTGAGCTCGAACTCCACTCACGGTGATGAATGTACCATCTGGTATCATGTTAGCCATTTTGTTGAACAATTGACTGACCACTGCTGCAACGGAGTGCCGATCTCTCCATTCATCAGGGACGTAGAACTGAGTGACTGCGACATCATACGCCTCCTCATTTTCTTCCACAGACTCAACGTCCGATGAGCATGTCAGAATGGAAGAGCATGTTGAGCAAGAGGAATGACTGTGTGATGGTGGGGGCGCCGTAGGTTCATCTGCCTCTAACAGTCCTTCAACCAAGGTTGATGAAGGTGAGTAGAGCTCTCCATCATTGCGCTCGGATGAAGAGTCATGCTGTTTACGGATGGTGAAGACAGGTCGACTGGGTTCAATGGAATCATTGGTCTGTCCATCAGGTGATTCGGTAGAAAGTTNGAGTGCCGATCTCTCCATTCATCAGGGACGTAGAACTGAGTGACTGCGACATCATACGCCTCCTCATTTTCTTCCACAGACTCAACGTCCGATGAGCATGTCAGAATGGAAGAGCATGTTGAGCAAGAGGAATGACTGTGTGATGGTGGGGGCGCCGTAGGTTCATCTGCCTCTAACAGTCCTTCAACCAAGGTTGATGAAGGTGAGTAGAGCTCTCCATCATTGCTCTCGGATGAAGAGTCATGCTGTTTACGGATGGTGAAGACAGGTCGACTGGGTTCAATGGAATCATTGGTCTGTCCATCAGGTGATTCGGTAGAAAGTTTGGTGTTACACTGGGGTGGATCTCCAATGGATCCACCTGCATTGTCGTGTTGTTCATCGGGGAGTTGAATGGTGGTATCGATTTGAAGGGGATTGTCATGCTGTGGGTACGGCGGTGTATTGATAGATTCATTGGAGTCCGCTGAATCCGCTGAATCCTTGGTTTCTTCATCAGCTGGCTGGGTTGATACGATGGTGTATGCCCCAGGAGCATATTCATCAAGTGTGGATGCGGATGCCGCTGATACCATGGATTCATGATTAATGGCAGCGGTGGACTCAGTGGCGCCCGTCGGAGATGAATCCCCGGGGGATTTCACAATGGTTGTGGTACGTTGTACCACAACCTCGGTTGGTTGGGCTGCCTGGATGATGCTGGATTCAGCCAGTGTGGGGGCTCCATCAGCCCCCCTCCACAGAAAGGGCTGCTGCTGTATCCCCAAGTCTCTTCTCACTGCAAAATTATACGTAGGTGGATCATCAGAGTCAATCATTGCTGGAGCAGTTGGAACTGTCACACCTGCAGCTGCTAATAATGGGTCTGAATGAGTTTCACCTCCCTCAGCGTACTCAGTGGACAGCGGTACCAACTGGCACTCGCACTCCATGCTTGGAGTCGTTGTCACTTTCGGCATATTCATCTGAAAAATAAAAAAAAAACGATAATTCTTAATTATTATAACAAATCAGTAGGTTCAGAGTAGAATGTTATGAAAAATTTTTGTAACTGTATAAAATGTTCAACGAAAAAAATTGAATATTTTTCTTCAAACACTCACTATTTAAATCATTTGAAAGTCAATTTTTTTAAACTGACAATTCATTTGGAAATAGAATAATTATAAAATCAGTTTGACTGATGAAAAACGGTCAAACACTCCTATTAATTATTGAACTTGAGAAATTGAATCACTGCGGAATAAAATTGAACATTTAAAAAAAAATCAAGAACATGTTAAATTCTCAGTCGTAATGCCCCGAGTGTTCCAAAATTGTCCAAAATTTCTCGATGGTTTCGTTGCATAGCAACGGGAGGGGAAAGTTTTGCAGAGTGCGAAGCGCAAGAGATTTTGTTGCAAAACTTCTCCGGATCGTTGATATGCAGAAAAATTTGAGAAAAAAATTTTCTACAATTTTTCGAGCACAAGGGGCATTTGGCTGAATAATTCCCCGAATCTGAATTCCAACCGATAGAAATACGGTATTTGACTTTTTTGCGAGTTTAAGCCATATTCATACCAGAACTCTCATTTATTATAACAGAAAATTTTCACATCAATGAAAAATCGAATTATTTCAGTAAAATATCGAAAAAAAAATGGCACTCCAGATTTTCGAGAATGGAAAGAATAGTGTATCTCTACTTTATTCTGAACTTTGAAGCACTTACTCTCAAATGGGCACACAATTCACTAAAGTTTCACTTTAATCCAGTTCACTGTAATCCTGGTTGATGGACCTCTATCGAATGCTCACGGTGGTTTGTATGACGACTCATTGACACCCTCTTATAGCCTCTGCAAAAATATTTCCTTCTTCTTCTTTATGTGATGAATATGGATATGTTTTTTCCGGCTCCATATCACGATTTACTTATTTTAGAAATCCCTCTCGTGGTGTTGCATTTCGTGCGATGGTGAAAATAATTCTGAAAATTAGACTCATGACACTCATTCGAATTAGACTCGAGCAATTAATGTTTCATTTCCTTTTCGATATGGAATAAACGTCATGAAGTGAAATTGTTGAAAAACATGGTGCAATATTTTTCATGAGGAATGATACATTCTTTCCCACACAGTGATGAGTCTCTCATTCGTGAGTTTTTATATAAAGTGCGGGAATCATCCACCTGTGATCAGTCGGACAGCTACAGACGTCCAATAGAATAGAATAGACAGTGATAAGTCAAAGATTAAAAGAACGTACAATGAAAATAATTTTGGATTTACAAGGCTTCCAGAGTTATGGGAATGAATTTATTCTAAAAGAAATTGGTGCTCTTATCATTGATGGAGCTGAGGAAGGAGACGATCAACCGATCAGTATACTCTTCGAAGCCCCCTGCGACTGGAATTTGCTCAGTCCGAAGTACAAGTGGACGAACAGCTGGTTGACATCCAATCACCATGGCTTAGCTTGGGTAGCTGGTGATAAACCGTACGAGCAAGCCAAGGATGTGCTTCAGGGACTGCTGAATGGTGTGAGTCACATCATTATGAAAGGTACGGAAAAAATACAATGGTTAGGAGATATCATCGATTTGAAAAATCTGAATGTCATTTATGTGAATAATTTGAACTGTTCCGGACTGGATGATATTGTGCTACTTACATGTACAAATCGAAGATATCATCTGGGTCTAATTAAGTATAACTGTGCTATGGAAAAAGGGCAACAGATTAATGTATGGTGGCCGAAGCATTCCGATGGTTCACTCAAAAAATCTATAAAAATATTTTGTCAGATGGGAAATCTGAAAGATATGAAAGCTGAGGACATCGCAGTTCTTCCGAAAGTTCTACTGCTTCGTTTATCTGAGAAGGAGATCGATGAGATTTGGGAGAAACTTCCAGAAAAATTGAAGTCAGATCGGGAAATTGCCAACTGTCGAAGATGTCGCAGTCATGACAACTCAATCTATAACGATGTGGATGGATACGATGGAGTGATACCGATGATTAAAAATTGTCACATCTGTAAATATTTCCATAAAAGTTGATTGGCTCATCATTATAAGAAGAATGTATTATTCCACTAATTGTTCTCAAATAAAACAGTAAAAAAATGTTCATTGATAAAATGCAATAGAAAAAAATATTTCTTGATAAAATCGTATGGAAAGAATATTGATTGAGGAAAATTCGCATACACGTGTTTTCTTCACATACGTGCTTCCGCCCTGGGTATTACAGACTATTCTCGCGCTCTCCACTTTGTGTTCATACTTCGCTCCACTATCGATGCCTCCACATGACTCTCTGTATCATCAATTCAAGTGATTGCTACGCCACTGCTATCAACCATCTCTGTCAGACACACTGAACGCATGAGACCAGATTTTTCGAGTGCGCTGTTTGCAACGATCCACAAATCCTCTATATTTTAGATCGACAGGCTCTAGACCAGAATCTTTCCTCTCACCCTCAAAAATTGTACATCCCCACAGGACCGGCGATCTGGCAATTCACCCCATCCCTCATCCAAGAAATAATATAATTGAGCGACATCATCAGCAAACGCAACCTCCCACTCCTTCTCCCTCCCCTCTCCACTCCACCCACCACTCGCCATGCGTCGCATGAGGACAACGGCGCGTGACGTCACGGACCTAGAATCCTTCTTGCCCATCTACTATTCACAATGACATTATAAAAATAATACACTCACATAAAATACATGGTCATATAACTCGCAAAACAAATGAAGAAAAATAGACAAATGTTTACATTTTTTCGACAAATTCTATCAATGATCATTATCTAACACATTCGAATATGACCAAACGAATATTCGTGAATGATTTACATATAATTTAATTCACAAGAAATTGCAAATGTTTCACATGGCTCCATGTCTACTATCGATAAACAAAATCTACTGAAGAATGATTGCTAAAACGTATTCAGAAGCCGTATTAAGGAATAAAATTTTCTATTGGAGTACTACATGGTTATCGACAAAAAATGATGCACTTGTCGACAAGCCCTCAACAATGTGCAAATGAAGAGAACGGCGATACGATTGCGCAAACAATAATTTATGACTCCTGTAGTGAGAACCCCACTAGTCATAATAAGCAGTTAGTGCTTATTCAACCTTAACGAATGCTAAAAAACTGATAAAAATTCCCAGACAACTGCTAAAATTATTCTGCGGAAGGTGAATGAACTGTGTCAAAATTTCCCATCCAATTCTAACCCTCACATAATGACCCTCAGAGATACCGGAAAAACTCCGGAAAATTAAACCTCATTTATTACCAATGTATCCGTGAGTGTATGTGAAACTGTCGATTGCAATCCTCACCTGTTGCATCCTCGGGTATCTTCCAAACGGCATTCAACGCCGGTGCCACAATATTTCCACTCTTCCTATCACGTACAGCATAGTACGACCATTGTATATCACTGTCTAGTCTATACGTCATTGTTAAATTGAAATAATCCTCAAATAATGGTTTCGTTCGCCGTATCCATGTCACCGGACTCTCAAGATTAACGAAAATATATCGTTGCGATTTATCACGTTCAGCCGGTAGATCTCTCACTGACAATTCATTTCCGTGGAATAATATGGCATCAAAATCACGAATATTGAAAGCATGTCGATTGTGGGTAGCATAGCAGCCATCACGGGGTAAATCGGGGCACTTGTTAAAAATAGCACCATTCCCAAAGTAGAATGTTTCATCTCCAAACATAGTATTCCAGAAGAGAATCTTCTTTGTTGAATTATCTACATGCGGAGTGTGGCTATTTCCGAATTCAAGGAGAAATCTCTCTGGCTCCCACTTTAATATTTTTATATCACAATACATGAGTATAAAATGTCCACAGGCTAGTGTGGCAATGAAGGTCAACAGCCACAATTTCCTGCCTCGACTGCATACCTGCATTTTTATACTAACACTCTCCTCATTAACTTAAATCTCCTCGGTGTTTCATCTGTCACTTTATTATCACGTAATTGCCTTAATGAGACCTCAATAGTAAACTCCATGAAACTCATGATTGAATATATAATCAATTGAGAGTCCCATTATTACTAATTTCTCGTGTTTTGGGAAATGATGTTCTCATACTTTCGAAGGAACGATTTGAATTTTATTGTTATGTATTAATCTATAATTGAAAAAATATCCGATTTTTAAAGAATGCCATGAGCGCGCCTACTACCCCGAACAAAATGTTATCGACTGACGTTGCTTAGAGACGTATCAAACGACACTAATACTCTGGCTCCCACCACGAGTATTATTACCGGATGGTACACTCTACCACTTGAGTGGGGTCAACTAACGTCAATGCTTGGTGATATAACAGGGGACCCTCGTCCGTTTTCCTGCATCGAGTTGCAGTTGGGTGTGGCTTTATTTGGGATGTAAGATATTGCGTAGAAATATTATGTGAGGAGAACGTTTGTTGACTCATCGCGTGCAAACGGGACTTTTATCGATTGGCGTCCAATCCTGTGAAAAGTGGCGGCCTCAACCTTGCGTGCGGCGTTCAGAAAATGCTGCTGTGAATAGACACGCAGTTTATACTCTTGCGTTGTAAGATTTCAATGGATGCTTATTGATCTGGGTGGATTTGGGCTACTCCACTTTCAGAGAAGTTGAATAACGTGGAACATTTTTGTAAATTTTATTGAAGTCTAAATACTGTTTCAGAATATCAAAGTTTGACGATAATAAGTTTTAGGTGTATTTTTGTACAATATTTTGGTCCAAGTCCAATGGATTCAACAATCAAGAGGAACGCACAATTGTTTTCCATGAATTAACCCTTGACTGGTCACCTGATGAGGGAAATGCTGAAGCGCATCATATTTTTAACTTCCAGGCCCGAAGTGAGGAAGTTATTCTAATGACCCTGAAAAACAAATGTGGAATTTGCATGATTTCTCCACGTTTTATGCTTGTAGAATTATCGTGCTATGTTTCTGAAGAAATATCGTTCTTTGTAGAGTGAAAGAGGTATAATAGCTTCCGTAGACACATAACTTAGGCCTCTTTGGTAGTGCGACAACGATGTGTGCATATATGTGTATGCGTGTGAGTATGTGAAGAAACTGTCAGGAGATTCAAACAAATGAAGTGATTCAAATTGTTCTTCTTGCAATCGATGTGTCTCTATATCGTTTCGAACTCATAAGTATATGGAAACGATCACCCGGAGAGAAAACAATCGGAAATAGTTTTACGATTGCAAGATTTTTCCCGAAGAATCTGACGAAGGGTGCCCCTCGGATGAAAAAATCGGAGAAAATCCTACTTGACAGCCATATCGATGAAAAATTGCCGAAATGATTCGATTATAGACTGTTCAGAAAATATCTCACGATCGATCGGGAAGATCCCTAGAATTTTCGGAACTTTCCTTAATCAATTTCTGTAAACTCTTAATGGAATAACATCCAGGTAGGAATCGATGATAGAAACAGGGCTCATCAAACCCTGGACCAAGGCTTAGAAATGCTCAATCAGGGCTGGGGTTCAGCCTTGGATCAGCCCTCCTTCAGCTTTAAAATGATAACCTCATTTCAAGCGTAGTCCGGTACTCAGACCTCAGCCTCGGCTTGACGCTGTACCCGAGTTCACGGCGCGTCACGCCGCTTCATACCGGCTTGGAGCGCAACGCCAAGACGGCACAACCCGGTATCTAAAGTTGAGCAGTGGTTCAATGCTCGAAACTCAGCTCCGACTCAGTCGTGTCGTTTCGAGCGGAGGGTGGGGCAAAATCGAATTGGATCATTCCCCAGAATAATCTTAAAGGTTTCTAGAAATCTTCCTCCCCGAAAAAAATCTCTCAAAAAAAAATCCCCATTGCCCCAAATAAAAATACAGAAAAATCGAAACAAATCCATTTCACGTGTCTTCATTCTTCAAAGAAAAAAAAACACAGAAATAAGGTAGTGAAGGTAGTTTCTGATCAGTAGGTAGTACTTGATCACTCGGCTATTTATTTATTAAGTGCGAAGTTTGAGTTGAATTGATCAAGAAGGTAAAACCAACAGTGCAAAGAATAAAATCCCTGCTTTCGCTAGTGATCTCAATTGTGGCAGTGGTACCACTGTAAACTGTCAAAAATAAATGGTAAAAGCGCGCGAACGCGGGAAACGGCCATTTTCACCGTTTGCTTGTGGAATGAGTTAAGTGTGTACCTGAAGCTTCAGCACTCAAATTTTACCACGTAAGTACCGAATGATCATAAATATGATATAAATCTCAAGTTAAATCATCGGAGAACAACTCAGAATGATAAAAAATAGATAAAAAAATTATTTTCAATAATTACTGTGGTGATCAATAACTGTCGCCTGAATTCTAACCTGTCGGTATTTGTTGATCGAAGGATTCATGAGTATAGCGAGGGGAATTAAAAAAGAATCAATTGTTCAGAAGAAAGAAGAGGAAAAACGAGCGAAAGAAGAAAAGAAGATGAAGAAAGCTCAACAAACAGCTGAGAAGAGAAAAAAGGCAGAGGAGTTGAAGGCCCAGAAAAGAAAATTGAGGGAGGCTCGGAAGAGAACTGAGAAAGAAGTTAAATGTGCAACTCCTTTAGCTGCCAAGAACATTAAGCAGGAAATCTTGGACTCGGACGCTAGTCAAGCTGGTTGAGCCGTCTCTCATGTTCGGAGATGGAATTTCCAAAGAACATCATTATTTTTGTTATGAGGAATTTTAAAAAATGTCCACATTTTTATTATTTATTACCCTTGAATTTGGTTTTTTCTGACCGCAAGGACTAAAAACTACCTCTGATTATTTATTAATAATAAAAAAAATAATTTAATGATCAGTTAGAGATGAAACAAGTAGGAAATTAAGTCATTATTCTCCTCATCCCAATGATCAGAAACTGCCTCCACTCGTGACCAAAAACTACCTCATGCGACTAAATTGTGATCATAAACTACCGCTAAGGCGGAATTTTCTTAATGTTAATTTTTTATTAATTATTTGATATTTGTCGCTCAAAAGTGGATTTTTAATTGATGTTAAATGTCTGTTTTACACTTTAAAAGAAGTTTCACTCCGTTTTTATTTGCTGTTTTCTCATTTTTCACCTTAACCTGAGCCCGCCGAGCTTAACTGAGAAATTTTCGTTACTCTTCCAGGAAATTTTTTATCACATTTCGGTTCCATTGAAATTCCAAGGAATTTTGTCATTGAAAATTCATAATATCATGAAGAAATCATTGCGAACAATAAATTTCAGTTCCATTATTACCTGAAAATTAATATAAATTGGGAAAAATCCAGTAAACAAATTTTTTAGTATTCAATTCATGGAAAAACCAACGTAATTTGTCACTCAATATTCATGTCTTTATGGAACATTCAAACATATTAAGGAATACTCGCCTTAATGGTGCTAAAAAATTTGGAATATCATTGGATTTTTAGTGATATATGAAAGTTTATTTTTCATCTTTAAATTGTATTCAATGTTACCCTCTTGTAATTACTGATTTACTTTCCATAAATTTTTAGTTTTTTTTTTCAAACAGTGAACGTGTGTCTGACGATTAAAATATGAAAATATAACTTTATAACAAAAAAGGTTTGTTCTCATTTTTCCATTGACTATTTGTCTAGATGTTGCGAGTTGTATTGAAAAAAAAAGAAGAAATTCTTTATTACGTTTTTGTGACTTATTTTACATCGTATTTCAAATTAATACCACTGGACTGGTTTATACCCCATCAGCTTTTACTGCGCTTGTGATTATGTTTAATTGCAAATCCATGTCATCTCCACAATTATTCCCTCAATTTTTTGATCAAATTGCAATGCTATGGGACCTGTCAAATTATTATTGAGGTTAGGTGTGCCGGGATCAAGTAACTGTGGATAACCCGGAGTTTGTGGTGGGCCACAAAATGTGGCCATTCAACTAAGGCCCAGGGAAGCATCCCGAGTGCTAGTGTAAGGGCGGCTGAGAGCGCGTAACGCGGCTCAAACTCGGGTAGGCGTGTAGCTTGCCCGAGCCGGGGTGGAGCGACGTATTTCTAGCTGGGATACGGCTTCTTAGGAGAGCTCGAGTGGCGCGATTCCTACACGGGTTGATTTACCAAATTTTGAAAGCTCAATCGTGCTTCGATTAAATTATATTATATTATTGTTTACGGATATTTATTGACATAATTTTTTATTGCTTTATAATCTATTTTATGAATTTAGAGTAATCTATGAAACAAGCAGGAGTACAAGCCTTTTTGGCAGAAGCTATTTGACCATTACTTTCTGTGTTATGGCTCTCTTTCTTTTTTCTATTTCTATCAATTCCATTGGTAATAAGCTTCCGAATGGATCGGTAGCCATTCTTGAAAAGATGGAAACGCCATGGTCTTATTCAGCTCAGATTAGATACCAAAAATGTCACTGAAAAACTACCTGCTGATTCGAAAGCAGTTCAACCTTACTTAGAACAAAAGAAAACCTTGACAAGATACTACTCCTAGGAACGTTTTACCCTTGAAACGTATTATTCTCGAAGTGTCCAATTCTTGAAACAAAAGCCTAGAATCATCACATGAACAAACAAGAAGTCATTTTTTTCAAAAGTCAGAGTGCTGACACAGATTGTCCAATTCTTGAAACAGAAACCTAGAATCATCACATGAACAAACAAGAAGTCATTTTTCTCAAAAGTCAGAGTGCTGACACAGATTTTGAGCGAAGAACTGGCAAAAAAAAATTCTCGCGAAGTTCGTATGAAAAGGTACGAAAATTCCGATCGATTGAGATAGAAGATATCGAGACGATCATTTCAAGGAAAAATTGAAATCGGTCAAGTAGCTTTTGAGATATTTCAACAACTAGCTGTGTGGCCCGGCTTCGCCCGGGCAGAATATGAGAGAATTGAATACCAAGATTTTTGAGAATTGCAGTAATTAAAATAAAACATCTCAATGTTTTCGACTTTTCTCGAACACCCAAGAATTTCTTTGGGAAACGCTCAAATTTTCTTGACTTCTCGGATATTCTACATAGGAAAGTCAAAAACATTGAGGTGTTTTCTTTCAATTTTACAGAAACTCCCTAAATTCCCTCCAAAATTCTAGAGAGTCCTTGAATTCCATCAAAAGTTCTAGAAACTCCCTGATTTCGCACTAAATTTCTGGAAGCTCCTTACATTTTATCGAATTGCGATGAATTTTCTAGAAGCTTCCTCAATACTTTCGCATTCCTTAGGAATTCCTTGC